TTTCTGCTGGTGATAGGCGACGAGAAAAGAAAGCACAAGGGTGCATCTTACCATCTGGTTCTGACTTTTGGGACAAYACCGCACCGACTCCCAGGTCAGAAGCATCCACTTCTACAAAGAACTGTTTCTGTGGGTCAGGATGGCACAAAATGGGGGCTTGAGAGAAACAAGTTTTTAACTCACCAAAAGCTTGGTTGGCCTCGGGAGTCCAGGAGAAGGTTCTTAAGGTGGTTAGTTGGGTGGGAGGTGCAGTGATACGACTGTAGTCCCTGATGAATCGTCTGTAAAAGTTTGCAAAACCAAGAAAACTTTGTAACTGTTTATGATCATTAGGAACTGGCCACTCTGAAACTGCCCGAAACTTTTCAGGGTCAGTCCTGAACTGACCCTTCTCCAAAATGAACTCCAAAAAGGACACAGAAGACACATGAAACTCGCACTTTTCAGCTTTCACATAGAGCTGATTTTCTTGAAGTCTATGGAGGACCTTTCTGACATGAGATTGGTGTTGCTGGGCGTCACGGGAAAAAATGAGTATGTCGTCTAAGTAAACAAACACACACATTCAGAAGGTCTCGGAGTATATCATTTATTAATGCCTAAAAAACTGCTGGGGCATTGGTTAATCCAAAGGGCATGACTAGGTACTCGAAGTGACCTAAGGGGGTTTTAAATGCTGTCTTCCACTCATCTCCTTCTTTTATTCGCACCAGGTGGTATGCATTGCGAAGGTCCAGTTTAGTGAAGATGGTGGCAGTGTGYAGCTGGTCYTYAATGGAATCTAACAGGGGTAAAGGGTACTTGTTTTTAACTGTGATTTGGTTGAGACCTCTGTAGTCAATGCATGGTCTGAGAGTCTTATCCTTCTTGGCCACAAAGAAAAAACCTGCACCTAGGGGAGACTTGGAGGGACGGATGATACCAGAAGCTAAGGACTCGTTGATGTAGGTTTTCATGGCCTCTTTTTCGGGACCGGAGAGATTATAGAGGTGACTGGAAGGAAGCACTGAATCAGGTATTAAGTCTATGG